TTCGGAAGTTTGTTTTTCTAAAACTTCTCAAACATCCAGAAGTTTCCTAAGTGTGTATGCCTTGTATTTTGATTAAAAATGTTAAAATAGACCAATGATAATAGTTCTATCAGACATTTTTTAACTACAATTATTCTATTTTATTGCCTTAAGCATAATCTTCACTAAACAGTTATGTGTCCAGCAGCCAATTAAAATCTATTTTTAGATCTTAGAACTGATATTCATATCGGCTCTCGTTCCAATTTTCAGCAGGTCACAATGTCTCCAGGTCCGTTCCAGTAAATGCCCTCCTTGGTGAATTTACGACTCTCGTACCTTTCTCATTCTGTCTACATAATTCTAACCCCGTTCCTACATCTCACATTGCCTAATTCTTAGTTTTACGTCTTCAAACTGCTGCACCTAAGACGCCGAAGTATCGAAACTACTAAAAAATCACTAGGCTGGTGATGAGATTTGAACCCAAGAGTCCAACTGAGCTATCAAGGCAGTTTTGCTTCTTGAATAATAATAATTTATTGCAAATTTTATTGAATTTTTTAAAAACATAAGTGCAATATATTTATTTTTTAGAAAAGTATTCTAATTTGGTATGGAATCTTATCTGTATGCCTATGTTTTGAATTAATATAACAAGATCTAAACTTTTTAAATCATAAACGTTGAAGGAAAAAATCATTTTTCGATATAAAAAACAAGATGAAAGTAACAAAAACGCAAAAATGTGAAATGAATCACAAACAAAATTATGAAGAAGTAAAATAAGACAAGAAATCCCACACTCGAGAAAATGTGTATGCATGCATAAAATTGTGGAAAAAATCTCTTTACTTAGGCAGAAGTACATTTGTAAGAAGCAATGAAATTTCAGAATCCAACAACAAATAAAAATGAAGGGAGAAAGGCAGCAATTTCTTAAATTATAAATGAAAATGAAAAAAAAAACAGCAAAGATTATGAAGAAAAAATTTGTTGACGACAGCAATATTATTAAGTATGAATTGTCATAATAAAACATCATGAGTGCGATTATTTTATTATTCATAAAACGACTTTCAAACAAGCAGCAAAAATCTATAACGTAAATATGCAAGAATGAGAAACAGAACAACTAGGGAAATTTTTATATTCCATTTACAGTTTTTGTGAATTTTAAACCAGGGGTTTCAATGCTGAACCATACTTTCAATACCGGTATTACGATACAAATCAGAGTTGATTTTAAAGCCGATTTGCTTATCTCGATTTATACCTTAATATTCTTACAAATGGCAAATCATGTCAGATAGAAGCGTGGCTCAGTAAGATTGGTTTCTCTGATGCCTTTGTTTTTTTGTAATTTTTTTTGTGATAATAATTTTTTATCTGACGATTACCATCCTAAACCTAAACCAATTTTCTAACTCAGCTATCAAAAACATCATATTTTATCCATGAACTAAACATACTCAACAAGCATTTTGTAAAGCGAAAGGGAAAGAAATTAGATTATAATCCTTAAATTAGTTTTCTTCATACGACCATTTATTTTCAGCATCATTTTTCCCTTAACCACACATACATACATCAATTTTATAAAGAGAAACAATTTTCTGCTATTCATTCACAGTCCCCTTTTGGCAATTTAATAGTAATATACAAAAAAAGAAGCCTCAAAATGAAATAAACTCTCATTCGTACTGATATCAAAAAGTTAATGGTGTGAAAAATTAAGAAAGGACGAGACAAGAGAGAGAAATATGTGAAGTTATTGTCCATATTATACAGCACTTCATGTGATTCATCTCTGCAAGAGAAAAAGGATGCGAGGGAAAAAAATCATTCATCATAAAATCACTCCATGAACCTGCACAACCTTGGAAATATGTAATTATAAAACAGACGTGAACTCATATTTACCATGTAACTACGATTGACTGCTGTGATATTGAAATTCCATCTGTGATGTTAATGCAGAAATTTTTCCGTTATTATATAAGAAGCACAGAAGGGAGTTTCCTTTAAAAGATTTTCATTTCGAGAAACAAATTTTTTTTTTCATCAGAAAATTAATGTTGCTTCAATTTTAGCTGTGATCTTTTTATAGTTTTCAAAGCTTTTAATCAAGATTTATCATTAATGAAAGTATCTCAAAATTATGATGAATAAAACTACAAAAGTAATTTGATATCTCCTTCATAAAAATTCATTAATTAAAATGCGCAGCAGTCTATTGATTGTCTCTATAGATTTCCTACCATATATTTCACTTCGTGTCTCTTGATGTATGTTAGCATCATAAATTTCATTTCATATTTTTGAGGAGAGGAAAGGAATGTTTACATCACAACATGCAATGTGAAAAACTAATAATATTTATGAAGATGAGAGAAAAGTGCGAGATTACATATAGAGTTCTCGAACAACCCCAAGTGATTTTTTTTGTATAATTTTTATATGCACATACTATACTATGAGCAAACGCTCCAGGGATTTGAAATAAAACAAAATTAAAGACAAGCAAAAAAGATGAAGATTACTCGAAAAATATTTAAAAAAAATACGAGAGTATATATTGAGAGGCCATAAAAGTTATTAAATAAATTTGTTCCTAAAGAATTTTTATTGCATGAACAAGAGGGTACAAAAATTGCCAGATAACCCATTTGATTATAACTTTTTCCTGTAAAATTTCTAAGACTTTCATCTCCTTGATTAATTTTGTAGATTTATTTTCCAGATGAAAAGAATTTTTCAATATATTGTTTCCTCAATTTTTGCAGATTGGATTTTCCACTTAGCACAACACTTTCTTTTTTAAACAAAAATTAAAGGTATATTAATTTTCTATTTTTTACATTTAAATTGTTAAGATCGATATTGTTGGTTGTCTCTCCTACAACATCATTCGTGAAGATGTTGTAGAGAGTTGGTAAAAGCACTCCTCCCTTTGGCACTCCATATTTGATTAACTTGATTTCTGAGAACTGACCTTTAATAAAAACTGCGAAAGATCTTTCACTGAGGAAATAAAAGTGGCGGTGGAAATCTCAGTTTGAGTATTTTGTACAATAGTCCGTTATGCCAGTCTTTAACGTACTGTCACACAGTACGGTCGCAAAAAGAAATAATTAAATAAATTAAAATTTTTTTTTTGAAGCGTAAGCAAGTGAGGTTTTAATTACAAAATGAGTGAGTCGGAGGAGGAAAACAGCAGACTTGACATATCTGTTATATGTGTAAGCGAAATGCAAGTGAATAAACAACCGTATTGTTCAAATGATGTGTGTAAAAGAAAAGAAATTTTTCCGCTAAATGACTTGATTGTGAAATGTATCCACTGCCAGGGATGTTATCATCCACAATCTCTGTCAAATGCTTTTTCTACATCCAGAAGGAACATGCATGTTGACTTTTTGTTATTTAATTTTTCTGTTGCTGATTTGATCACTTCGATCAAAGAAGGTAAGAAGTTGATTTTCCTGTTCAGAAGCCACACTGCTGACAAATAGATAGATAGATTTATTTACCTTGAGGTATTAAAAGTACAAAAATATAGTAATATATAAGTTACAACATAATAAGAAAGTATGCATGTTGAAATGTAGCTTTAGTGGCTTAATATGAATTAATTAATTTATGAAAAACATGTCACAGAGCAGTATTGATCATCCATCGACAAATAGTCTAGAGCAAATCAAATCCATTACAACTCATATTGATAGTCACGCCAAAGAACAATCCTAGCTAGAGGCAAAAACGTTCATTACCACTCACTGGTGTTTTCACACCTAAACTTTAAATGAAATAGAACTGCTGAAACAGTTTAAAGCGAGCAATACGCTTACAGTACAAAGTACACCAAAACATTTGCTGTTTATGGACCTCATTAAACTACAAGTTAACATCCGCAGACCTGTTATAAGCTTAATGGCGTGAATGTGAAACAGCATAACTACAAACAACCGCAGTATCTTTTAAGATCGGAAGTTGAATGTTGTTTGCCACTCTACATCAGGGACGAAACCGAGTCGTGGACTAATAACTAGAATCTCATGGAAGAAAAGCAGTATGGCATAAATATCGATGGAATTCACAAAAAGCAATGTGCATAAGTTATGGATAAAATTAAAGGAAATTTCTTCTTTGCGTATTCTTTTGCAGCCAACTGAATTGTTATTTGCCTCTATTGAGCTATAGTATTCCGATAATTCTGGAAGTCGTTAAATAATTTAAGTCCTTTCAAAAACAAACTGTTCTGCGATCGTCCTTTCGTATAGTTAAGTAGAATGTAATCATGTGCACGCCTTGTGTTGTTATCCTCAAATGTTCGTTGATTCTGTTCAGCAACATACTCTAGTATTTTGCTTATTGAGCTGAGCAGACTTATTGGCCTGTAGCTACTTTACTCATTCGCTGGTTTTCTAAGCTTTGATATTGGGATCACTTTTGCGTGTTTTCAAACCTTTGAAAAATGATTGAGTTTGAGACACGAGTTGAAAATGAACTTCAATTGTTCTAAACCTTTTTCAGAAAGATTTTTGATGTGTATGTCGTTGACATTATCTAGTTCCGAAGCTTTGAGATTTTGTAAAATTAAAAATTTTAGAACACATACCAAGTTTTGGCAATGAAGAACTAAGAAAAACTTCATATTTATCAGATTATTCGTCAAAATTATTGTAAAATTTTCGAAAGAAAAATCAAAGTAAGCAAAAACTTTGATGGTGAAGAAAAATTCAATCAGATTTTTAATTCCATATAATTCGGATTAAAATTTATTTTTTAAAGCACAACGGAAGAAAATTGAAAAAATGGTTGGAAGACGACAAGGCGAATACCTTGAATTGGTGAAAAGCGAATTTTTGACGTATTTTGAACAAAATGGACATATAGTGGTTGAAAAACTTGAAGAGTTTGTAAAAAAAATACTCCCGGCTATGAATAAAGGGAAACCAAAGTCCAAGATGGTATATCGCAGCAGCCTTATGAAAGAATTTATTTACAACAGTTTTTGCATGAAAGCAATCGCGGAAACGAAAAAAGAAGAGCCAATTGGTAAGTAGTACATTAAACATTTAATGACTTTTAATAAAAATATAACTTTTCGTTTCTAGGATCTAAGACGTCTAGAGAAGATGTAGGCAAATCTCGATCTCAACACAGTTTTCATCCGACAAATTTCAACGATTTGAATGCGCAATCGTCGACACTTTCACCTGATAATAATGATTTAATTGAATTTTTTGAATCATCTTCTCAAGAATCTATGCGTGATGTTTTTAATGAGGCTCAAATGGAAATTTCTTCATATTCTGATATTTCTGATATTTGCAGAAACGAATCTTAGCGAAGATTGTAAGATTGGAAGAATTATAATAATAGTTTTCTATCCGATGTTCACAAAACCATTTAAAATTACTTATCTTATGCGGCCTGTTTCACTAAAGCGGATTATCCTCGATTTCTGATTATCCACTTCAGTTTTTTGTAAATATCTTAAACTTAATAGGAGGTGTGGTATTTCTTATATTGGATTATAATAGAGTGAACTATGCTTGAAATTTCTGTGTACTTTAAACTTATACTTTTTGTTAAGAAGTATTAATTATTCGATTTTCTAGCGAAATCTAGTAGATTAACTTCGATTTTTGCTTTAATTCTCAAACTAATGAAGATATAAAAATTCTAAGTATATGTTAATTTAAGTAGCAAACTACTCTTACTAGATCACACATTAGATCTCTTAATAACTTTAAGCGTCTGAAGATATATCCAAAAAACTGAAGTGGATATTCCGAAATCGAGGATAATCCACTTTTGTGAAACAGGCCGATAGACTTTTTTCTTTAAATTCTCTTACTCAATCCAACTGCTTTAGCATTGTCATCTCTAATTATTTTATACATGTTTAGCAGAATTAAATTGTTATACAACGAGCCTGTAATGATTTTTTACGCAATCATTACACTGTGGAGTTTTCAAAGACATATGTATGTCTTTGTATGGAAGAAGGAGAAGGTTGTGATCAAGACATGCTGACTCGCAAAGAAGGGCTTTTAGTTCCATCAACCAGCAAACAAGAAACCTTATCTTTAACACTATCAGATCGTCAAAATCATACAGATTGGAAAAATCCCAATGAGAAAATTAGTTCGAAAGTTTAAAATATCAAATACCATCAGTTTTCAACTCACCCCAAATCCTATCGCAACAGTAGCTTCAACAGCCATACAAGATCATAACGTCCTAACTTTCAATGAAGATATATTTATCTGATGGTTGAAGTCCATGAGCAAGAACAGCATCAATATCCGAAAGAAAAACACGTAAGCTTCCAATTTTGTTTCATCAACTTCAAAATATGATACGTTAAAAGATATTAAATATTACTAAAAATTAATCAATTAATATCGTAAAAGCGAATACGTCCTTAGCTAACTCCTTAAAACAGCCTAATATATAATATTAGGAATTAGAAAACATGAAATAGAAAATTATCCAAAGGCACAAGGGGCCGTTCACTTATTACGTTGCGCAAAAAAACGAATTTTTTCACCCCCCCTCCCCCCCTTGTTACAATATGTTACAACTCACATCTTGCTTTAGATATTTAAAACTGTTTTGTATAAATATTAGTATACTCACACAAAGTTTCACTGTAATTGGATAAACCCTCGAAGAAAAAAAGTGAAAAACTAGATTTTGACTAGACCTGCCCCAAGTTCAAAATTGAAAATGTATTTCCTACTTGGTTCTTTGCTCAAAAAAATTTTAAAATGTTTTATTTGTATTTTTTTTAAGCACTAAAATATTAATGCAAAGTTTCAATCCATTTGGATAAACCCTTGAAGAAAAAAGTGACAAAATTGATTAGGACTAGGTTCGCCCCTAGTCCAAAATTGAAAATGTATTTCCTACTTGGTTCTTTGTTCAAAAAATTTTAAGATGTTTTATTTTTTTTAAGCACTAGAATATTTATGCAAAGTTTCCATCCATTTGGATAAACCCTCGAAGAAAAAAGTGACAAAATTGATTTTGACTAGGGTCGCCCCTAGTCCAAAATTGAAAATGTATTTCTTTCTTGGTTCTTTGCTCAAAAAAATTTTAGGATGTTTTATTTGTATTTGTTTTAAGCACTAAAATATTTGTGCAAAGTTTCAATCCATTTGGATAAACCCTCGAAGAAAAAAGTGACAAAATTGATTTTGACTAGGGTCGCCCCTAGTCCAAAATTGAAAATGTATTTCTTTCTTGGTTCTTTGCTCAAGAAAATTTTAAGATGTTTTATTTGTATTTGTTTAAGCACTAGAATATTTATGCAAAGTTTCAATCCATTTGTATAAACCCTCGAAGAAAAAAAGTGACAAAATTGATTTTGACTAGGGTCGTCCCTAGTCCAAAATTGAAAATGTATTTCTTTCTTGGTTCTTTGCTCAAAAAAATTTTTTAGATGTTTTATTTGAATTGACATAATTCTGACATAAATCACATACCAATATTACTTTTTGTAATGCATAGCTAAAAAAAAACGAAATCTAAAATTCCGACTACCCCATCTGAATTTTGTTCATACTCTTCGCTGTGGAAACCAAAAAACATATTCTTTATCTTAAAACACTTGACAATATAGCGACATAATTCAGGATTAATTACTTTTAAATAATATTTTAACATTTACGAGAAAATGTGGTTCAAATAAGTGTGAAGTATGGCTGAGATTTGGACCAAAATCAGCTATACTGATTCATAGTGTTCCCGAGGGTGACAAAATTAAAACTAAGTGTTTTTGTAGCTGACATAATTATAACATAAATTAGGTATATCTTTTGAACTGTGTCGATATGGGTCTCAGTCATACTTCACGCCCACCCTTCAAACTTATGCTGAGCAAATCTTGGTCTATCCATAAGACTTTTGATGGTATGGTGTTAATATATCCGCATTGGGTTTCTACCCGATACACTAGTTTAAATTATGATTTGCTTCCGATATTATGCTTGACATATGAATTATCCTGTAATGATTGTACACAATTTAAACCGTTCATGGATACGCTTAGGAATGGCTGAAAAAAAAATGAGAAATAAGGTGAAGAAGAAGCGGGAAAGGGGAGTTGACAATAAAGTTGACCTTTCTTAATTTTGAAGATAACATTCTCAAAAATGCAATTTAAAGAAAAAACTCGAAAACTCAAATTGTGTTGATAAGGCACAAAATTTGATTAATATTATCACTGAATTCTTTATTTCATTTATAAAGAAGAAAAACAATTGCTAATACATGAATTTACACATGCATAATTTACATATCCTCCGTTGTTTCCATAGCTGTTGCAATTACTTGTAACGGATCCTGGTAAAGTCATAGTCTGGGGAACATATTTTCTAACCAAATTATAATTTAATGAGTGAAATTATATTTTAAAGTAGTATTCAATCTTACATTTCATAAACAATTTTTTGAACAGTTTCTTCAAATGTGCAATGATTTCCTGAATCTTTCGTTCCACTTGGGCATCCATATGATACGTTAACACATTCACCGTACTGTTCGTAGCTACCTGTAGGACATTTATTAACAATTTTCTCACAAATATTTGTATTTGAATTAATATGAAAACCATAATCGCATCCTGGATCTTCCATAATACATTGGTTTCCAAATTCTTTATAGTAAGGAGGACATCTTTGCATTTCATGAATGCATTTGTTATTATTTTCTAAATTGTATCCAATTGGACAGCTTAATCTTTCAGGCTCACATACTCGACCATTCCAGTTCCAGCCAAAAGGACATTTAGGAGTAGGTGGAACACATTCATCCCCAAGTTGGTGATAACTTTGAGGACATACAATTCTGGGTGCACAGTTTTGCATAGTTTTAATATGTTCATTAGCACATGTCGATATTTTTCTTATACATTTATCATTTCTAAACTCATAATCGGCAGGACAAGAAACTGAAGAAGCCCGTTCTAAAACACATTTTTTGTTATCATTTTCATCTTCAATCATTTTGTAATTTTTTGGACATTGTTTGATAGTCTCGGTTTTCATTTCTACATTCTCTCTTCTTGGATGTTTTTGTACGGTTCTTATAACTTTTTCTGGAACTGTTTTAGAAATTCTAACAGGAACTTGAACTGTCACCGTTTTTGATGATTGTTGTTGTTGACAACCGGAACTGCACAATTGTGGAGCTTGACTACAATAGCTTGGACATTGTGTACCTTGGGAATTACAAGAAGTTTGACATGGCGGGTTTTGATAAATAGGTTGTTCACTAATTCTACTATTTCCATAAATTGGGTCGGATGAAAAAGGTGCAACAATTTCAGGATGAACTGTATTTGGTGGCAATATTAATTCAGAAGCAAGACTTTTAACTTTCGACAAGTTTGAATTATTATCACTAAAATCTTCTAATGCATAAAATATTTTGAAAATATTCACACTTAATAATAAAATTAAAATGTTCCTCATTGTATAGCTGCGAAATTCTACAACTCAAATTATACTGAACTCGACACTGAAAAAAGTAAAATAAGATTATATTTTCTATTTATAGTATACAATTCTCATTTTTAAAGATGCTCTTTTTTACCGAAATATTTGTCAATATAAAGGTCACAAAAGGATGATGATTGCATCAAGACTATTCAGTGTGTGAGGTTCAAAAAACCATACAGACATAATTGTTGTTAAAATAAAAAAAAAAATAACGAGGAAACAACAACGAAAACTTCTGCATTATATTGTCGCAAACTGTCTAGTAAGGATGCAAAAATTTGTCTGCATTAAATTATAAAACTTTTGCCATTCCATTTTATTTAAAATATATATATATATATATATATATATATATATGAAAAAAGTATCCAAGTAATTAACATTTTCTTTTCCATAATGCTCTTCCGTCTTACGTTTTCATTTCTTTTATTTCTTTTTCTCACAATAAAAGCAAAAAAAAATGTGAAGAGATGAGAATAAAATGGGTGGATGATGAGAGAAGAAACAACAGTTGCAAATAGCGCTTTTTGCTTTAAACAAACTGCAGTTTTTATACTATTTTAACAAAATCTTGATGTTAAACGCTTAGGATGTCTAAGTGAGTGTCTTATTGTTTTAGACTTTTTTTAAGTGTAGTTCTTGTATCAAATTATCATCTTGATATTTTAGCTAAAATATTTTCGTTAAACCAACCCTTAAATTATGCATTTTATTCCCTTTTTTTGACAATTCTTTTCAACTTGATTTTCGGTTCCGTTATTTTTTCATTCTTTTGTGCACTTAACCAGATGGAGTTGAAAATGAGAAACTGCAATAGAATTATTTTAAAACTTTCTTGGACAGTCTTGTGTTCCTTTTACTTAAGCACCATTGACTCAAAAGAGATAAAAAAATTCTTCTTTTATTTCAGATTTTATTATTTAATTAAAAAAATATTTGGAAAAAGAAAGTTGAATGTTGATGATTCAGCTCGGTAAAATGGGATGGTTAAAAAGGGGCTATAGCAGGGGCGTAGCCAGAAAATTTTTGAGGGGGGGGCCCATTTTCGAAAATTAAAAAACCGTTATTTTGTATCCTTAAATCTATATTCATTCTTCATAAGTTTAAATATTTAATTCATTATTCATACATTAAATTTAATTTTTCGTGCTGATTTTGACATTTCTTTCATCACTTCCTCTACATTAACTGGTTCTTCTCTATAAAAACTTAATAAAACAATTATCAGATTTTCGTAGGGGGGGCCCGGGCCCCCTATGGCCCCCCCCTGGCTACGCCCCTGGGCTATAGCAATAAATATTATTAGTCTTGAGGCAACGAGGAAACTTTAAAAAGAAAAAAATTGGATTTTGCACATCTTTTATAAAAATCTTGCAGAGGGATATCTCCTTAAGCAATGTCACATAGAATATTATTTATTTTTGAGATATTTTAGTATTTAAGAATATCCTTCATTTGAATTCATGCAACGAATACTATCTCTTTACATTGCAAACAATATGAATGAAAATTTTATAAAAAGGAACTAAGAAAGTTTTTCATTCCATCTTAAGATACAAAAGAGGGTAATTTCCATTCAAGATTACTAGATACACCCATTTCTGCTTTATTCAATTTATTAAAGGGCAAGACCGTTTTTCGATTAAGTGTCAGATTTTGCTATTATTTCGTTTATATCTCTGTAACGAAAATACTTACAGTAAAACTAAACATACTGTTTTATAGAACTTTTTGATGCCTATCTTTTGGTATGTAACTTTTTATTGGAAGGACTATACTTAAGGCTGTAGAGCCTGAAAATAGGCAAAATCTGACACTGAATTTTTGGGAAGGGTATTTGAAATTTTACTAAAACTAGTCTATCTCGCTTAGTTTTACACCGATTTCGATAGTTTTTTCAGCAATAGTTAGTTTAAAACTACAGTTATCATTAAAAAGTAATAAAAATAAAATGGCGACTTAATAAGTTAATTTAATTAATGTTTTTAACCTTATTTTCCTATATTTTACTATAAATTTTCAACTTACTTAACTTTTTTCTTGACACAAATATAGTTTTAGACCTTGGCTTTATGATAGAAGTCAAAAATTTTTGAAAAAAGTAGTATAATTAACTTTTTTTGGTCATTTTGTAAAATTGCCTTTAAATGGCAATTGAATAGATATTCTTTTAATTTTATGATGTAAAATGATAATTATACATCAAATATGCTTAGTTTTAGCAAAATATATCACAATATAATGTTATAGAACAAGAAAAAAGCAAAAACTTTAAAAACTTTAAACAAAAATTTTCAACCGTTTTTGAAAATTTAAATTTTTGACTTGATTAAAGAGTTGTAAAATAAACTTTTGGTTAAATTAACTAAATTAGAAGGCTTTATTGCAGTAAATTCTTGCAGGAAAGTTGTAATTTATCATTAATTAATGCTTTTTGAGGGACAATAATGAAAATTTCATTAAATTTATATGTAAAATCAATTTTGGTTAATTTAACTAATTTTGTGTATTAATTTGAAAATGTGTGTATGATAAATGAAAGAAAATAAGATTCTCAACAACTTTTATGAACATATCAGCTCCTTTTACAGCTTCCTTCTTGGATAAAAATCACTTTGAATGTTTGATTTAGAAATTAAACTAACTTATAAAGTCGCCATTTTAAAATTATTGGGTTAAAAATTCAGTTTTTATATTTGGCTATAAGCCATTGAAATAATTGTGACGATTGAATAACTAAACTCTGAGTGAATCAACTTTCAATATTTGTTCACTTTTTTCGCGGTCTTGCCCTAAAACAAACAATAACCTTGCAAATAAATGAACATCTTCGTTTAAATAATCTCAAAATGAAGAAGAAATGTATCTGAAGGGCATCTCCCATTAATAGTTATGTGTGTGTATATGTCTGTTACTGTTAGTATTTTACCTTTTCTCTTTTCCTAATTTTCATTGTAAATAATCTCATTGCCATGAATTACCTTAAAGTATATATCTAGTAAGATATTAATAGAAGGAAAAAAGAACAACACAGTAAATGGATAAAGAGTAGAGGAACTTGTAATTTTCGGAAATAGCAAATAGTATAAAAATAAGTGAGCTAAAATCTAATTCAATTTATATCTGAAACGCATTTTTACTATCTCAACTTATTGATTTTGTTTTATAATTTCTGATAATTTTAATTTTTTTCTAAATTCCTTCTATTGGACGATTATAAGTTTCTTATGTCTCATTTGGAAAAAATGATTTGATGTCCAAAAAACCTGTTTGTATTAAGATCTACTCGTCTCGACATGAAAAAGGAGAGGTATAAAATTAACGATCACTTCTAATTCATTACATTAACGTTAATGTTCATCGATTGCAGATGCCATATCGTTATTTTCTTTTTCTTACAACAATTTCTGACATTTATCCATGGCAAAACACCCATCACCCCTTATAGGCATATTAAAGAATATATGCTAAGGTATTTCTTCTACTTAATTCTGTTGTTTTTGTTATTGTATACGATTATATTCAGATGTTTTCCATTCAATTCACGTATCAGCTTAATTAAAAACATATTTCCTACATCAATTCATTTTTGTTATTCTAGCTTAAGAATTCTCTTTACCATTTAGAAGTCATCATCGATTTACACTTTGGTATTTTGGTTTTGCTACAAGTTGTAATATTTCTAATAAAAAACTAAAAATTAAAGCTTGATATTTGTTTATTGTTATTCTAGTCCTAATGGTCTTAACTTTCAACCAAAATAAAATAATACGACCAGCACAACTATTAAAAAAATGATTCTATAGTGATGATAAAAATTCTGAGAATGTGTCAATTACAAAAAAAAACTCAATATCAAATACATAGTTTGAATTGTATAAGTGCTCATTCAAATGTACCTCATTCTATAGAATAATCGGATTGAAAATAATATACTCGAGAAAAGAGCTTGTTAGCATATTTTTCTCAGTCGATTCATCTGTGTGTAAAATTTAATTTATTTAACAGGAAAAAGTCTTTATTTGATAGATACTTCATGTCCATACTATTTAAAGTCAACGTTAATAGTAATTTAAAGAGGGTTATATCCTGTTTTCATCCCCACTTAGTAATACATCAATTGTCCAAGATGAACCTTGCGAAAGTTTGTGTCTAGAAAATATTCATAATTATAATAATCCAAATTTTAAAATCTGATAGATAATATACTGTAAATTCAGTCAGCCTCATATTGTTTGAAAAAATAAATACTCTTTAAAAATATTCTAACTGGGATTATCTTTTGAATAGAGTTATATTCTCAATTTGAATAATGGTTGTCCAATGTAAAAAGTTTCTTTTTATTTTCCCCTTTTGGCACTTTATTTTATGCATGCACAAAAAGATTTTCCATACAAAATCGACTTTATTAAGTTATAATGCGATTTGAATGTACAAAAAAAGGAAAATTTTCTTAGGCAACATCACCATTTCTTCTTTTTGCCTTAGCACTGAATTTATTTTCTACATATATGTTTGGTAACAACAGATTTTTGAATTAACAAATTTTCTCATGAATTGAATTGTAATCCCTTTAAGGTTTTATGTATGTCGAAAATAATGTCAACAATTCAATTTCTAAAAGATTATCATATTTAAGTACTAGGGGCTTTTAACGGGCCCCGTTTTGAGTAATCTTAGAAATCAAAATGGTTTATTAATCACAAAACTTACCATTAAATACTTAAAATAGTATTTTTTGCATCGAAAATTCTCCAATTATAAAAATTATAAATTAAACCTTAAGAAACACAGGCAATCATGCAATCACGCACTTAGAATTTAACAAAACTGTAGTAGAAATAAATAAAATAGAATGTTTGTCCTAGAAACCTGATTTATTTTTCAAACAGTAATATTGAATGGCCTAAACAATAATTTTGAATCTATATGATTGATTCTTTAACAAACAAATTATACCATATAATATAATATTTATGCTATCAGGCACTGAT